CCTCGGGGCCCACTGCCGCTCCTACATGGCTGCCTAATTTCAACTACGCCACGAACCTTCTCTTCCGTTTTCTTAAATATGTAATTAACAAAGGCGTTACTGAGAGTTTTAATTGGCTTCTTGTCTGGAAATCCACCTGGACAAAACCATCCCCAGCCCCAGGGGCTGGCCGGTTGGGCAAAACCACGACAGTGGGCTAGGTTTGTTTATGTTTTGACAGTGAAAGACTGTGATTAGCAATTCTTCCATCTGTTTTTTTTTTTTGCAATTCCTGCCAGTAAGAGAAGATAGGAGGATTAAATGAAAACTGACCCAGAAACAACAAATAGCAACAACTGTAAATTGATTAAATTCAATCTTATTATTTTAACTTGGTGTTTACTTCTTGATGCTGATCTATAGAAGAGCAATGCAAATATGAAGGCATGTACTCACACATGGTTCAGGGAGAGGTGTGTCTCGTATACAAAGCTGAATGGGAGGATGAGGTATGAATTATTAGTATGTGATCTAATTTGAGGTATGGACCTATGATGCATGTCAGTTAATGAGCTGAAAATAATTTCTTCCTCTGCACTGAACCTGAACCATGTGTTCTCCATTTGTTATGAGAAGATATGAGGACTAACACACACGAGATCAGTCACAAAAAGACACTGGTAAATCTCAGCTGAAGAATGTCAACTTCTTATTTTAAATTAAAATTAATTTAAATTTAAATTAATTTTCTCTTTCCTGTTCTACCTTCATTATTTTTCTTCTCATATATTCAGCATTAATAATAGCTAAATCTCTCTGTTCAGAGCTTCAGTAGTAATAGCTTTTATCACTGCAGCATCTAACATTGCAAAAGCTATGGAGTGAATCAACAGAGACTGTAACTCTGGCAGTTCCTGACATCATGTTCTAAGGGCTGTAATGATGTTGCTAGTCCAGGACAAAAGAGCTATGAGTTTATGAATGTTGTTTCACTAGACAGAAGTTCTTAAGCAAAGACATGTTCACTTTGGAATATTTTTCCATAATTTGTTTGGATTGCATAGCATATTTCATACATCAGGCTGAGAGTTGCAATTCAGAAATCTGTAACAGAGTGCCAGCTTTAAAGAGTGAAATCATTAGTTATATTTTAATTATTTTCAAGCCAATTGCTGGTTTTTTGGCTGTGTTAAAAAAAATGTGTTTAAGACAAGTCAATTCACTGTGCTTGTTTTTATGACTTCTTATAAGACCCAATCTAACTTCAGGCTGTTCTGGGTTCTTTGATATGCTGTAAATCCATCTCACTGAAAGCTTCTTGGGGGTACGAGAAAGACCGGGAATGCTTTTATGACATAGGTGGGATTCCTTCCTTATCCTCACCCCAGCTAAAGGGGCTCCTGATGTTTGCAAAGCATAAACACCAGCCCTATACATCAGAGTCACAGTTTTGTCAGAAAATATTCTATCTCATATATAACAAACAACAACAAAGTCAGTTATAACTGAATTCCTGAGCTTAGTATTTCATTAAAATCCATTTCATTAAGGGATTACTTCAGTCACTGACTGCTTATCAGGTCAAACTCACTATTTACACCCAAACTTAAGTGTCTCATCAAACTGTTATGAGCAGTGAGTGTGCAGCAGCTCTGCTGTTGTCTGGAGACATAGGTGCTTTCTAGTATTTGTGTTTAAATAAAAGGAAAAGCCATTATAATTGCAGGGTTCATTAAAACTCTCAAAGAACCCACCCTGATTGACAAGAGGTTGTAACTGAAAAATGCATTTCAGTCCTAGAGACATAATTGACTCCAGCCTTACTCTTTGGTGACTGATCTTATCAAGAGTCCAGAGCCCTGAAGGCCCCTGTCTGCAATCAGAGGTGTGACTACAGCCTGCGCTGCTCTACTATTTCTGCAGCGAGGCTGTGTGGTGGGAGCACAGACCACTGTGTACTGGAGACGTCGGCAACAGCTGCTCTAGTGCGGTTTGGATGGTGAGCATCTCAACAGAGTATGTTCTGGTAGAGCTGTGTTTGTGCATTGATACTTTAATGGAGCTTTGAGAGGACAATACTGCAGCAAATGAGAAAAACATGTCATTCATTATCAAAATAATTATAACAAGATGAGAATATTTTGCCATGTTGGAAAACAAAAATAAATTACTTTATAAAAAGACCTCTTAACTTTCTCCTTTTGCTTCTATTCCTTTTTGTGCTCAACCATATTTGCCATGCGGCAATCCCACAAGCTCAGAGTTGATCAGCAAAGTTCCTGTCTGGAGGAAAAATTGCTCAATTTACATAGTTTATACCAAATCAAGATTGAAGTGGTTTATTAACTTACTAACAACACATAATTAAAGTGATTGGTGGAGTATGCATTCAGGATGGATATCACATGTAAAATATCAACAAACATGAATTTCTAAACACTTTTGTAAAACAGCCTCAGAAGCTACCAGCACACCCACCTCTCCTGGACATAGGGGTTCCCTGATATGCTGGTCTCTGCAACCTGGTCCTCCAGTATTTTGCTGGACCACCTCCAGTAGCCTGGCCCTGTTTTCTTGTGCTGGGGAGCTCAGTACTGCACATATCACCCAGACCAGTGTCATCAGGCTGAGCAGAGGGGCAGGACCATCTCCCTTGACCTCCTGGTAGTGCTCTTCCTGATGGAACCCAGAAGCTGCTGGCTTTCTTCAAAGCTAAAATGACAAATTTTAGTCATGTTTAAAAAGTTCTTGTGGATTTGGACCACACTGGCCCAAATGAAAAGCTGTCCCTAAGCATCTATAAACAAATATGAAAGATTTTTCAGACTGTTTGTCCACACTGTAGTCTATGCCACTACAAGAAGGCTGGAGAGGAACTTTTCATGTGAGAATGTAGTGATAGGGCAAGGGGGAATGGCTTTAAATTGAAAGAGGGCTGATTTAGATTAGATTTTAGAAAGAAATTCTTTACTATGAGGGTGGTGAGGCTGCCCAGTGTTGGATCATCTAGCATGGACCAAGTTTAACGGTGCCTCCACCTTCGTTTGTGTGCCTTTGCCCAGGTGTTGCTTCCAGGATTCCTTGGTTAGCAATGTAACAGAAATAAATTTACTCTTTGCACTCTAGCTGTGAGTTTGTGGTTGTCCCAGCTGCCTGCTTGTGTCAACTCGCACACCTGGAAAAGTTGTGGATGTCCTATCCCTGCAAATGTCAAGGCCAGGTTGGATGGGGCTTGGAACAATCTGCTTAAGTGGAAGATGTCCCTGCCAATGGCAAGGTGGTTGGAGCTGCATGATCTTTAAGGTCCCTTCCAACTCAAACTATTTTGTGATTCTATGATTCTGTGATTTTCACTATTACTGCTTCCTGTACTAGGGAAACAGGTTAATGCAGGCTTTCTTTGTATGTGCTGCAGCTACACCCTTTCACGTCAGTTTGTGAAAATACTTGGTGTTTTGAGTTAAAATGCTGAATTTTTAGCCAATGTTACTGATCCTTTCTGCCAAATCTGCTGAGGGATGGAAATGGCAGAACTGATGAGAGGACGAGAAGTAGCTTCTTGTCTTTAGTGTGACATTCTAAAGATAGCACAGTAACATTCTTTATTTGGTGCCTTAGTGGTGGCTATTTCCCAAATCTGTGGTATCAAGTACATGGTGCAGCTTCATGTTTTAGAGTTGTGATGTCCTGTACTGTGTGTTTCTTGATATGAATCCTCTGGTCCTTCTGTCTCTAAGAGCTGAAAGCAGAACTGGCCTTCCTCCGTAAAATGATTTGCTAGTCTCAGCCCACCATGTGATAGATAACCTTGCTGTATAAACAACATGATTAACAAACATTGCCTGGGAGACTGAATTTTAAATCAAGAGGTCTGAAAATAGAAGCCAAAGCAGCTACTGCATAAAGTCTGAGCCACGTTTCTCCATGGGCATTTCTAGGAAACTTGGTCTCTAGAGTTGGTAGAAGGAGTGAATCAACTAATACATCCCAGAATATTTCTCTCATTCTTTTGAGTCCTTCATAAAAAGCACAGGATGCAATAAAGCAGCCTTTCCCTGAAGAGAATCAATCAACTATCTAACTGCATTTCCTTTCTCAAACACAGATCAGATGCTGTACAAGAGAGCACAAAAGACATTACAAAACAGCCTTCCCACAATGAAAGCTTCTTCCTAATTCTCTATAATTAGAATGACTTTTGAATGAGAAACAGCCTGTACAATTTGTGCAGCCTGAGAGACTTCCTGCTCCAAGGAGCTATGAAATAATAACCTAGAGTGCGCTGCATCAGACCTTCCTGTGCAGAATTAATTTTTCTCCTGGACATCACTGGGAGTTTTATGATGGATTCAGAATATTTGGTGAGAGGGGAACAGTGTGATAACACAGTTTGCTCTCTGTTTAAAAAAGACTATGATCTACAAATTTTCACACTTAGGCAATTTCTGGTGGAGCAAGACACCCTCTTTCAATGTCCAGTGTTTTCCGTGGCTTCCTTCTGACCCTGATGACAGCTGCATGTGCTGCTTTGGTCCCAAATCCAAATGCTGACTGATGCCAGCTGATAAATCAGAAAAAGTTTCATACCAAAACTTTGCATCAAGGTGCCCTTGAAAATCTTGCTTGCTGTATTATGTTTACACCACAATTTACAAGGAATGACAGAAAAACATGCTGTTGTTTCAAAATAAGTATTACTCAATGTTTATTAAAAGCAAGTTTTTTCACCCATTCATATATCCTTGAAGGCAGTTTAAGCCTTCTATGTACATAAATACATAAAGTTAAATAATCCACGGTTAATAGATCTCTCTTTTTATTATTTATATTGCCCCAAAGAAATGTGACATGGGAGAGGTCTGTGACTTTATTTAACTTACTAATTGAGTTATATGCATTCTATGGTAATGTCATAGTCTAGGACAGTGAAGTTATATTAAAGAAAAGCTTTGTTTATTAAGAATGGTATTGGACCACTGTAGAGGTAAGTGGTGGGAAACTGAACCGAAAATAGTTGCAAATACTTTGCTTACTGAAATAGAGTAAGTATTCAGTCCAACAAGTACTCATTTTTCCTTTGGAAAAAAAGATTTTATTGAAGTGTTTTTCTAAAAATGGGTCAGTGAATATTTAAGTTTTAAAAAATCTGATCCACTTGGAATACCTACTGATTTTAATGGGAGACAGAGAAATGAGTAACTTTTTATCTTTTACAATTTCTGTTTCATCTGCTATCCAATGGTCACTTTACTTGAGCACAAATATTGTTTAGCTACACAAATAAGTTATGGAAATCCAAACAAACAAAAAAGGTATAGTTCAAATTAAGTTTGTAAATTACTTCTATATTGCAAAGGCTGTAATAGCTCTTGCAACTTCTGAAGCAAATACATATGATGCTCTATAGCATGGTACTTATTTCATGACTATTTTATATTTTGCTAAAGATCTCGCATCTGTTTAATATTTTCACCTATTTCCTGATACCCATTATGTATCTGGTAGCCACTTGCTTCTCTTCAAACGAGGAAATTTCAAACCTATGCACCCTGCTACACTGCTCCAGTCTAATACCCTCTTTTTCATGCAAATGGAGTAGAAGATTGGTGTAAGAAAAGGCATCAAGAGCAAGCTTGTTACAGGAATGTCATCCTAAATTTATTCAACATTTCAATTTCTTGGACTTCCCCTTTCAGTTTTCCTGAATGACTTTGACTTTAGTTCTCCCAGTGCAACTACAAAACCTGGATGTTTAAAATTCAAAACACTGTGGCAATTTTCACCAAGACTTTATTATTATACATTAGCAGGGATATAAGATTGGACAAATCATTGCATCATTGTTTTACTTGCATGGATTTATTATTTCCCAATTCACCCACCACAATCCAGTTCTGAACGCAGATTTTAGAGCCCATTGAGAGATTTCATGTTATGAATTCTACCTTTTGTAAATAATTGTTATTTCAGTACATCCAAGTAAGTAAAACTCCACCTGGAAAAATAAATACACTATGTGGAGAATAATAAAAAAGGAGACACCTAATATCACATTTTTTAATTAGTGTATGTGCTATACAAGGTTAAATAACTTCAAAACCAAAAATCATCTGCACCACTGCTCCTTGTACTTGCTCTCTCTCTGCTTTTTAACCGCAACATGTCCATGACACTGCGTGCATATATGTCTCGCAAATTGACGTTGATATTTGAGTCACTGGATGAGTTCTTCATGAGTTTCTTTAAAGCTTCACGCTGCCGTAGAGCAGCTTCTTTTATCTTCAGTGTAAAATAACAGGCAGAAAAACGGTCATTTATTATAGCTATTGGCAAAGCCAAAACCAGTATTCCTGATAGAATACACATAAAGGCTACTACCTTACCAATGGTAGTGTCTGGTCTAATGTCCCCATAACCAACTGTTGTCATAGAAGTTGTTGCCCACCACCAAGCACCAGGTACACTTGTGAAAGTGGTGCCTGGCACACCTTGCTCAACAAAGTACTCCACAGTGGAAAATATAGAGATTCCTACAGAGAGGAAAAGCAGCAGAAGGCCAACCTCCTCATAGCACTGAGCGATAGTCATCCCAAGAGACCGCAAGCCTGGAAGACAAGAAAGGCTGTCAGAAGGTTGATTCATGTAGCTGTCATTACAGCTTTGCAAAACATCTCTTACCTAAAAGCCGACTGCTTTATATTTTTCTTCAACTGCTAGTGAACATGTTTTGACAATCACAGAAGCAAAAAGGTTGGAAAAGACCTCCAAGATCATCAACTCCAATCTGTAACTGAACACCACCTTGTCAGCTATATCACAGCACTAAGTGCCACATCCGTTGTTTCATGAACACTTGCAGTGATGGTGACTCCACGACCTCCCTGGGCAGCCTGTTCCAATGCTTAACCACCCTTTCTGTGAAGAAATTCTTCCTGATGTCCAACCTGAACCTCTCCTGGACAGCCTGAGGCCATTTCCTCTTGCCCTATCACCTGTTGCCTGGGAGGGGAGGCTGACCTCCACCTCACTACAACCTCCTTTCAGGCAGTTGTAAAGAATAATAAGGTCCCCCTTGAGCCTACTTTTCTCCAGGAGAAACAACCACAGCTTCCTCAGCCACTTCTGTTATGTTACATGACTTACTCTCTAGACCCTTTACCAGCTCCCTTGTCCTTCTCTGGACTTGCTCCAGCACTTCAATGTCTTTCTTGTAGTGAGGGACCCAGAAATGGACACAGAACTTGAGGTGCAGCCTCACCAGTGCTGAGTACAGGGTGATAACAGTTTTCCTAAACCTGCTGGCCACACTATACAGGCCAGGATGCCACTGGCCTTCTCAGCCACCTGAGCACACTTCTGGCTCATGTTCAGCCTCCTGTTGATCAGCTCCCCAAGATCCTTTTCCACCACGCTTCCCCCAGCCTGTAGTGCTGCATGGTTTGTTGTGACCCAAGTGCAGGACCCAGCACTTTGCCGTAATGAACCTTATATCACTGGCCTCAGCCCATTGATCCAGCCTGTCCATATCCCACTTCAGAGCCCTCCTACCCTGAAGCAGATCAACACTCCCATCCAACTTAGTGACATCTTCTGCCAGCTCCCTCATAACCCTAGGATGAATCCCATCTGGCCCCATAGACTTGGACTGCAGAGGGTCTATGCTGCTCCCTCTCCCTGTCTACCAGCTCAGGGGGCTGGTTGCCACAAGGATAACTGGTTTCTCTGTTAAAGACTGGGGTAAAGAAGGATTAAGTACCTCAGCCTTTTCCTCATCCTTGGTGATAATGATCCCCCTATGTTCAATAAAGGATAGAGATTGCCCTTGGCCCTTCTTTGGTTGTTCATGCACTTCGAAGGATACTCTTTATTACCTTTCACAATGATGGCCAGAATGAGTTCTAGATGAGCTTTCACTTTTCTAATTTTCTCTCTACATGACCTAACAAAATCCTTGTGCTTTTCCTGAGTTCTGCCCCTTTTTCCAAAGGTCCTAAACTCTATTTTCTTCTCTGAGTTTCAGTAAAAGCTACTTGTCCAGACAGGCCGGTCTTCTTCCCTACTGGCTCATCTTTAGGTACATAGGGATAGCCTGCTCCTGTACCTTTAAGATTTCTTTCTTAAAGTATGTCCACCTGTCCTTGACCCCTCTGTTTTTATGGGCTGTTTCCCAAGGGACTCTCTGAACCAGTGTCGTGAACAAGGGACTCCCTGAACCAATGCCCTCCAGAAATCCAAGGTAGTGGTTTTGTTGAGCTCCTCCCTCACTTCACCAAGAATTGAAAAGTCTATCATTTCATGGTCACTATACCCAAGATGGCCTCTGACCACCACATCTCCCACAAACCCTTCTCTGGTCGAGTGGGTCACTGCCCCTCATAAGCTAAAAAGAGGTGCTGCTCTCAACACTACTGAGAAAAAGTGATTTAAAGAAACAGATCATAATCTTAGACTGAACCTCTGACATAATCTCTATTTCCTTAAAAGAGAACATATAAATTCTCCTCATTACTTACCATTTGAACCATGCACACATATACTTTAGACAAATTAACCTATCTTGATTAAGTAACTGGCTATAAGAGAAGATCTAGCACAGTTTTTAATGTTATCTAAATAACTATTTAAAAGCACACTAAAAGAACCTGCTTCACACTTCGAAGCTGAATGTGCCAAGCCTCTGTTTTCCAGCCATTGTCCTATTTTTCTCTTGGACCAAGCGGCCCTCATCTACCAAATTCATGGTCCCAGGTGTGTGCTTAGAGTCCAGTTCAGTTCACTCAGTAACTTTTTTTTTCTTAAGGACTGTTTCCAATCCTTTTATAGTTGTTGCAGACTCTCTTTGACCCCTTTTTCTCCCGAAACTATCATCATCTTGTATCTGTAGACATCAAAAAAAAATACGGCTTTCCAGCAACAGCTGCACTAATGCCAAACTGGAGATGGCAAAGCCTCCCAATGCAAGCTTGTAATCCTGTTAATTTACTGATGTTGTGTTGCAGTATGCTTCTAGGATATAAAAGAATGCAGACGTTTGTAATGATTGCTTAAATTGACTATGCTTCCAAGATGGTGATTGTGACCCTTTGTATAACCCTTCTTGTTCCCAAAAGCCCCCCCGCTGTACCTTTGGAATGTCTGAGAGATAACTGGAAACTCATCTATTGGCTGTTAACCCCTTCTTGTAATTGGTTGGTTTGTAACACCTCCCTTCCTCCCAGAAGCCTTATAAGCTGCGGGAAATTTGAATAAACTCTCTCTGCCTGCTTCCCTGCTGCCTGACTGCTGGCCCCGTGGTCTCTCTGGAGGCCATGAGGTACCGCGGGGTGGGGGGACCAGGGGGGCACTCCCCCCCTCGGAGCAAGGGGTAAAAGGAAAAGCCTCTCTCTCCGGGGTTCCCCTCTCCCCATCCACCTCAGCGTTCGTCAATGTTGCATCAGTCCTGCTCCCTGTGAGCTGCACAGGAGTTCAGGTGCAGCCAACCACTCTCCATAACCCCCTACATTCCTTTCAGAGCTGCTGCTTCAAGGCTACAGTGCCTGACAAAACAAGCAGGAAAGTAAATACAAAAATAGTGCAATGGATAAATGTTACACATGTGAACAACAAAGGAAGATAACAGGGTACCAATTCAGCTGAGACACATGGGAGACTGAAAATTATCTTTTGAATCACAAGTAACTTTGGATTGGTTTTTAATACCGTTCTTTAAAAGTGTGCTATGTTTCCTCTAATAAATGAGAAACCACATTATTTATGAATTACCCTTCATGGGGTAAACTTATCAGTAAGCTAGTGTTTGCAAAATAGTTTACTGGAGTTCTGCCTCTGCTTGTAGACTTCATATTTTCATTAGTGTTATAAGCAATTTTATTTGCTTTTCCTTTCCCAGTCTCAAACTACAAGACGTTAAATGTCTTGCTTTTTGCTTTTCTTTTCCCCTGCGGGTCTAATGGGTTTTAAAGCTTTTTTTTATGTACAGACAACAATGGAAGTACACACTACAGTTTGTAGGGGATGTTTTGCTGGTTTTTTTCAACGCTATCTGCTACCAACTCCAGTTAAGACCTTACCATATTAAAGTTTTATATTACTATAATTATGATCTGTTGGTTACAATGATACAAATTAAATCTGTAACAGAAGGGGAATAAGATATATTAGTTGAAATCTTTTCTCTGTTATTATGACTGCCTCTGTATTTTGGAAACACCGGTATCAGCAGTACAAAAGCTCTGTGAGATAACTGCAAGGACCCAGATTAAATCTCATCTTCCAAGGGAGTTACTGTGATCCATTGCCCTGTAAAACTTCCTGCTGAACAAGGTAGTAAATCTTTTCAGGTAAGCTAGGAAGAAGGTACTCCATTTTAAAATTACCCCTGTAGCACTTCTTTTCAAAGCATAAATTAATACTATAAAAGCCAGGGTTTTTACCTTACGATTGTTCTTGAGAATATTATAGCTAGAAAAAATGCATCTCTCGCATAAAACAGATTAAAATAAGGAGGAACAGAACAGCGACTGTTGACTCTTTGTATCACATTGATGACACCTTCAGTAAAATATTTTTCCTATGGTTAATTATTCTAATTGTTCAGGAGTTTGATTTTTTTTATTCTTACTATTCTTAGTTCCGTTATCCTCACCTGAAATTATAATATAATTCTTCATGTCTTTAGATGAAGTCAGGAGATACTTTTAGACAAATTTATGAATCAGACAAGTTACTGGACTCCACATCTCATTTTAAGTGAGAATCAGTTGGTATATTATAATCACATGTATAAAGTATTCTACTATATTATTTTGTAACTTTTTAAAATGTCTACGAGCCGTAGCACATGGCCAAACTAGGGTTGTTCCAGCACAGACACCTCAGCAAGTCTTACGGCTTCCCATGAGAACTCCTTGCCAGGAGATGTGACAGCTTGGTTACTCATGCTTGCAAGGTGCTAAGGTGCTGTAACAGAGTTGGCGTGAGGCTGGCAAGCAGCCCCAGCCCTGGGAGTAGGAAGGGGAAGCTTTTCCGCCATTCAGGTCAAGTTCCACCTCTCTATTGCCCAAATACACTTGGCACTACAACCCGATATTCAGAAGCTTCAATTTACACAGTGTTTAAATAATCCTAAATTTTTAGCACTAAAAGTGCTGAAGTTTCACTTTTTCATGTCTCCAGCAGCATGACAGCTTGGAATATGTTACAATCTTCTCTCAAACATATGCCCATTGCCATCACAAGTAAGATGCACACTTCTCAAGAAGTCCCTCTGTAAGTGCTTCCCAGAGGAAGACCAGCAAAACTTCAGAGAAAACAAGGCCCCAGGAGGAAGGCAACAGCTGAGGAGCATCAGAGAACAAGATAAATACAGGTTCAGTTCTCACCTATTCTTGAAGCCACTAAAATTCATAATTTTGATATCTTGGAAGACTAGTCTCACCCCCTAACTATACATTTTATGGATAGAGGTACTACTGATTTCTCAGTGGTTCCTTGATGAACTCTAGCACTTTGCAGAAATAATTACATCAGTCTAGACCAGGTGTTCCCAGGTATCATATCCCTCCTGTGAGCTGGCCTCAGCTTCCAAAGGGGCAGAAATTACTTTTTTCATTTCTTTTTCTGTCCTTTTCCCACAGATAGGGTTAAGTTGCCCTTTCTTGAAAGTGAAGAAAAGAACTCATATGTTTTTTTCCCCTGACAGCAGGACCAGGCTGCAGTTGTGATCATAGTTTTGTTAGGGCTCTGCATAGCACTAGAGATGTTCTCCTTGTGACTGTGAACACCCCACTTGGTGAAAGAAGAATTGCTGCCTTCAACTTCTGACCCTGCACTCCTCTTGCCACACAAAACAACTGAGCAGTGCATGAAGCTTTGTCAGGTCTGAGAATGCAGGAGTGTGAGAGAAGCTTCATTGAGAGGCAGGTTTAAGCTGCCAGATCCGAGGCAAGAGAGCAGAAGAGTTGCAAGCACCACCCCTGAACATTGAGATTTATCTGTCTAGAGATGTGCAAGTAGGATGGTCTGTATGCATGATACTTATGAGGTTCATCTGTATTAGGACTTGTGGTTAAGGATGTATTTAGAAGCATATGAACAAAGCTCTTCTGCAACATACCTCTAGTGGTCAGAAACTGGCCTTCAGATCTGCAAGTGTTTCTATTTTGATTTATTAGCATATTTATTATTTATTTAATCTTAATAGCTGTATTTCTTCTGACAGAAGATGAAAACAGCAAGTTTCTACATTTAAATTATACAGATCTGATTTAGCATTCTGGACCTTAATGGGCAGCAACTGAACTACCAAAGAAGCAAGCAAGTGATGGTAACACTGCTCTGAATAGTTTAAACAGATATGTACGTTGCTTTTTGTACTTTGAAACTGGTGTTTTGGTCCCAGGAAAAGGAATGAGTATTTTGGTTCCAGCACATCTCCAGATCAGGATACTAGATTTTTATATAATTTATATATTTTTATCACTTTTAGCTGACATGGAATTATTAAACTCAATATTAAGGGCACTCAACATTGTGACATAGACTGTGGTAATACTGAATAAGGACTTTAAGAATAAACAGGCTCAAGTGTTTTGACCATCCATGAAAGTTAATGTACTTGAAGTTAACAGTTATACAAGCAGCTGAAACATCTGTTTTCAAACTGATAGAGCCACAGAACTGAGTTTCAGACATTCATTCTGTAACAGTAAAATGCAATAAACCAGAAACTTTATAACTAGAATCAACATACTTTTCGATGACTGTTTTGTTAGTCAGCACAGAAGTGCCTTGATGAAATTAAATCTTTTTCTTATTTACAAAATACAGTTAGAGAGGAATGCACTCACATTAGTGCTACCATCAAAGTGGGTATAAGCCTTTCTTTCAAAAAACCTCAACCAAACCGTGAAAAACTTACAGTGAAGCAAAACTAACACACTGCCAAACCAAACCATTATAAACTTCCTCTCAGCTGCTTTCTAAGGGACAGTTATGCATCAGTATAGGAATAATCAAGAGTTGTAAGATACTTCCCAAATCCCTATGATTATGCTTAGTAGCATCAAAGCTACTCCAGCCCATTGTTTATTGAGAACAAAAATAGAGACACAGTCTGCTGCTGTGAGCACACTGTAACTCCTGCTGAACTGGGGTCAATTCACAGAGATGGCTTTCAAAACAAATGGACAGGCATCAACCAATTCCTGCTTCGTGGCTGGAATCCTGGAAGGGTACATTGGGTGCATTTTAAGAACGATCACCACTGCCTTCATAACAGGCTAATATTGCAGGACAGAGACCATGATTTACTATCGGGATCTAATTTTTCAAAGCTCCAAGTGTTGGCTGAACATCTCTCTCCTGTAGAATTTAGCACAACATTCTGCACTGAATGAAGTGGGAACATAATTAAATAATTTTGAAAATTCCAAGCACTGGCCAATATCATGGCATGGACAGGGTATGGTGGGAATACAGCTTTTATTCTTTCATATAGCCAGGCATGCACACATTATGAAGTAGTAATAAAAACAGGGGAAACACAAGAGGAAATGCAACACCTTCCAATAATTTCCAAGTTCCTCTGATAAATTTCCACTAGAAAACATTACCTTCTATGCCTTTCTTTCACCAGAGGAAGTGAACAAAATGTTTCTCATAAATGCATTTCACCTTCCATCCCATCTCTCCTTGCTGTTCATCCATCTGTCTGCTGGCCTGTCAGGGGTGCTTGAACACTCAGGGCCCCACACCAGTGGGTGAACATGGACTGAACCCAGCACTGCTGGTCTGTGCTGCACCTATGTCCAACTTGGTAAGCAGCTCGTCAGCTGGGTTCCACATGCCACTGGGATACCAGTGGGTTCAACAGAGCAAGAGAGTCCCTCAACCCATCACCTGCAAAGATTCAGCTTAAACAATTTTCTTGAAATATACTCTGTTGTGGTTGATTTTAGGACCTATGATGTAGACTAAAACCATGATATATTTCTTTCCATATACTTTTATACAAAACAAATTATGGCAGCTGTCATGAGTGGGCCTTGGATAATACAAAAAGGGTGTGCCAATGATCTCTGTTGTTTCCCTAAAAAAATCAACTCAAATATATTTTTTTTAAATTCATGACACTGAATGACTGGTGGATGATTTATAGCATGCAACTTTAAGGTCAGTTTTTGTGGAAGTTCTATGCAAACAATATACAATGGCTTTCTGAAGAGCTAAAATTTATCAGAGAAGGCCCTTGTCACTCAGTTATAGGGTCCAAAAGTAAGACTTCCTCAAGCAATTGCTGCAAACATACTGTGTAAAAAAACTTTGGCAGAAATACCCACAAAATGAAGGACTGTGCCCAGGGACAACTGTTGCAGGCAGCAAAACTAAGAAGTACCACTGCTGTGGCCAAAAGTACCTGTTGAATGTCTTCCCAGCTTCAACATCCGCAGGGCTCGGAGCAGTCTCAGCACTTGGACAATACGTCCCACATTCTCCAGTTCTTGGGAGCTCTCACCACCACACAGGCTCTCCACCAGCAGGGTGATGTAGAATGGCAAAATAGCAAGGAGGTCTATAATGTTTGCCACACTCCTCAGGAAGCGACACCGATCTCGTGCACACAGGAACCTCAGAACAAACTCCACTGTGAACCATGCAATGCACAGGTACTCGAGGGCATCCAGCAGTGGTGGTGCCAGCCAGCTTAGCTCTACTGAAATCAATGCCATGTTGGCAATGGACACAACGACAAAAACCATGGACAAAGTGCCAAAAGTCCTGGCTGCTGCAGAGGAGCCAGGCTTTTCTAAAACTTCCCAAAGTTTCTGTCTGACACTGGGACAGAGGCTACCAGAAAAGTCCTCTTCTTCATCTTGGGCATCCAGTTCTTCTGCATCTTTCTTGATGTCTAAGGCTTCACTCAGCTCTTTTCTCCTGAAGTACCTGTCCAGGAACCACCCCCCCAAAAGATTTTTAATACCAATATGCATATGCTTTTCATCCTGTACCATGAAAGTCATTACACATTAATACATATTAAAGTATACCATACTCAGAAAATCCTAATATCAAGCATATGGTCGAAGATTTTGTTAACTGCGACCCTGCAGCATGTTTCCACTGACCTGATACACTTCTATTCCCCCATTTCACATCACTGACACTTTCTATGTGCAGAGTAATTTTGTTCTGATATTGTTTTATTTATATGGATCATGTTGACTACAGCAGAATCTGCTGCATGACTAACATGCATTCTTGTAAGCAATTCTGGCATCCCCAGATCCTCTGTTTTAAAACGGTTCTCAATTTGATTAATTATATTGCATTTTTATTACACTGGTGTGTATTTGTAATACTAAAACTGATTGCATAATAAAAGCCTGAAAATGAAGTTCTGATCAATACATACTAAGATGGCAAGGTATCTTTCTTTTTTTTTTAAATCTATGGGTCCTCACACAAAGAGCACAAGCATTTGTGCTGAGCAAAACTTATAGTCTGAAAATACATAACTTGTCAGAGCAAGAGTATATTTACAGAATAATGGCATGAAACAAAAACATACTGAAAGCACACTAAAAAAGTATCTTTTTCTTTCATATCTGTATTTTTTGACTGCTGTAGAGTTTAAGCCATAGACAAAGGGATTATGCAAGTTTGCCTTCACTTAATACACAATTAGTCCTGCATAAGCCAAAGAGGTCTGTAGTTCCTTGTATCACCAAAGAAGTAGGAGCTTTCAGTTACATCTCTCAGGGAAGGAAGAGAGGGATGAAAACTAGGCTCCAACTCTCTCAAGCTACAGAACTAAACCATACTAGGATAACTGGTATCCTTTGGGAGTGAGATTGCTTGTTTCTTTCCAGTAATTTTGACATAACTGCTTTAGATAAATAGTACTTACACTCTTTAGAAAATTCATTTCTTCAACACTAAAAAAACAAACCAGTACCATTAAAAATGGTGGGAAAAATTAAAATGAACTGCAAATAGAATTAACAGAAACATCCTGGGGGTGGTTCAGTCGAAGCCCACCTTGTTCCTAAACTGCCTGTTACAATTTGTCTCCAGTGAGCCATGTTCCCGCTGTTGCTACCCCCTCCTTGTAAGCTGCTACATCCATGTGTGATGCTTCCTTTCATGGCTCCTGCTGAAGCCATGCCACCCACACTCTGCCTGGCAGGTGACCAGCCCCCTCTTCTGCCTCTCCTGCTTGGATTTGGAAACCCTTCAAAATGAAAGTGTGGGGTGAGGAGGATTCAAACCCTCCCAGCATCATGCTTGACTCCACATCCATCACTCTATGATAACCTCAAACTGAATGACTGAAATGGCATCTCTCCTTTCACAATCTTTTTCATCTCCAGCATTGTCCTCTTCTAACATTTGAGCTTCTGTGGCTAGTCTGAAGCCAGTACACGACAACCCAGACCATCTTCCTTTTAGGGTCTCACTATCTTGACCTCACTGCCTACCTGTCCCTCAGCAAAGGTTATCTGTGACCTCCCCCAGTACACCTCCTCCCATTTTTGACACCCATCCACCTCCAGAGCAGCACTCAGGGTTGAATTCATCCAGCTTTGAGCACACTTTTCTGAATGCCCTGCTATCTCACCTATCCCCACTCCTGGGTCTCTCATCTGTGTGTCCCTGAATGTAAGTCAGTGCTGAGCTCACCCAGCCCACTATCCCGCAAACCTCATCTTCCCACAACTCACCGGTCTCTGCAGCAGGAATCAATGCTGAGCTCATCCAAACCCCAGTATTGGATCTCTTGCAGGAAGGAGAGTGCACAAAGCTGCTCCATCACATGCAGCCTCCCTGTCTGGTAGTAATTCAGGATGTAGTGAAATGCCTGTGAGCTCCGATCAAAGAAATATTCATTCTCCACAAGGTTGGCATCATCACAAAGCTCAAGGAGGCCAGAAGCCACATCCCGGGCAGCAGAGACCACTACAGCCAGTTTGCCAAGGCGGGTGTCAGGGTAGCAAGACAAAGTTTGCTGGGACATCACAAAACGGCTGCCTCCTACATTGATAGTAAAGCAGTCCAAGGGGGGAATGACCTTCTGGAGCAGGGGCCCCTGCTCTTCCTCACTGGAGAAAACACTGGAGTTCAGCGAACCCAGGGATGTGCTACTCCCTGGTTCGTCCAGGGATGCTTGGGAAGAAAGAGACATGCAGCAGGGAGGCGACTTCATCCTGTAGCTGCCAGCAGCAGCCCACACTCTCCTGGATCAAAAACACAACAAGGCTGCAGAGAAGACTGCCCCGCCTGGGGGGCGGCCAGACCAGGCTGGGAATGGGTCCCTTGGTTCTGGCTACTGTCCCAGGGACACCTCACCGCCCCCGCTGCCTCCGAGCGGTGCCTCCATCTAAGCGGAGGTCAGGGAGGTGCTGCACAGCCCAACGCCTCCCGCACACCCGAGGATGCTGAAGAAGCCACGGTACCTGAGGCGGCGTCACCTCGTGCTGTCCGCGCCGGCACCATCCGCCCGCGACGGCCCCTCCGCTTCAGCGCTCATCTCCAGCCGCTGGGTCGGGGTACGGGAAACCAACCGGGACGACACAACACGGAACACTGGCTTCAGCGGCGACTCCGAGAAGCGCCCCGACAGCAGCCCGGGGGACCGCGCCTCTGCCCGGCCCGTCCCCTCCCGCCCCGCACCCGCACTTCGCCCGGGGCTGCTGCTGCCAGAGACAAGCCCCGCGCCGCTCGGCCCCCGTCTCCGGGGCAGCCGCCGCGGACCGGGCGAATCGGCACGGCTGCTCCCCACGGCCCGCACGGCCGCTCTCCGCCCCGCCGCACCTGCCCCCGCCCTCCTCTCACCTGCCCCCGCCTCACCTGCCCGCCGCCCGGCTGTGCCGCCCCCTCGGCGGCAGGCTCCGCTCGCTCCCCCGGCTCCAAAGCTCCGGGCAGCGCCAGCGCCCCTCCATGGCGAGCCATGTGCTGCGGGGGGCAGGCGGGAGCGGGGGCTGCGCGGGCGGGGCCGCTGCGGGGCCGAGCCGAGCAGGGGCTGCCCCCGCCCCGCCCCGGCACGGCCCCGGCACTGCCTGGGCACGGCCCCGGACCGCGGGACTCCGCGGCCGCAGGAGCGGCGGTGCCGGGGTGGGGCGTGTCGGGTCCGCTGTGTGCCAGCGCTCCGGGCTCCCTGTGCTCACCGAGTGTTCCCTGCGGGACAAACCGGCCCCTGCGAACTTCTCCGAGGGAGTTCGCAGGGCTGTTTGGAAGTCGCCCTCCCGTACTGTGTGGAACCCCAAACCTGTTTCTAAGTAGATAACGCGTCCTCACTTAGGCTGCCTGCTCCCACGGCTCAAGTCTGAAGTCACTCGCGTAAAAGCAGTCATTATATAGGTGTGCGTGAGCGAGCCTGTTTTAACTGAGCTGCAGTCAACATGTTTTCAAAAATACTCAGGAGTATGTTTGTCATCGTCCTGTGCTGACTTTGTAAGTCCTCAGGTCACCCTCCTCACTGTATTTCCTTTTCTCCTATGAAACAGTTATTTCTGACAAATTTAAAACATTTACTCTGACAAATTTAAAATGTTTGCATTTGCAAATTTGCATTTTCTGCTGCCTTTGACTCCTTGCCAGAGCACGCAAAATATGGCATTTTGTGTTGTGCCACCAGCATCATGTGCTGTGCCACCAGCTTTTGATTCCACTTGTTGCATACAGCTGTGCCCAGTTATGCACATTTCTAACAATTACTGCAGAGTGGTCTTGTAGTGGTTCATCTTTTGGATGCTGGTAATCCATATTTTAAATGAGGCTGAGCTGAACATTTACTGTATTGCAGCGTTACAACACCCGCAGCAACCGCTCTACTCAGCACTTGTTGGCATAGAAATCAGCTCCAAGTGACTGTTGGCAAAGGCATACACTGATCAGAGAGAATCTGGTAGAGAACAGCAAGGGTGGGATTGGAAGTCATGGCCCACGAAGAAAAGACAGAGTGGAAGAGAATGAGCATTGTAACAGGCATCAGCCACATGAAAAGCTGCTCACAAAGATGAAGGGTAATATACTCTGTTGTCCTTGGACACATTGGACAGGTGTAAAAATTACGGATTTCAAATGTGTCATAAAGAAAAATAATTACTTATTTGCATAGACATTTCAGGAATATTTCCTCCATTAGAAAGGATATCTGAAAACACTCCCCTCCCATCACAATGATTCCAGGGGTGGATGCTTCCAATTACTTCAGATCTACTGGTGTTTCTAAAAGCCTGGTTAGAAGTTTTCATTTTGTCTAGTCAAAGTGAGTATCAAATGCCTAGCCTCATTAAAACTGTAGATAATTTCTTATAAAATACTCTGATGTATTATTTTCAGCACATATGCAGGACTTTGAGGGACATAGTTTAATTTTTTGTTTATTTATGTCCTTTATGGAATAATGACTGCATACGGGTATGTCACTTCAAAGTAAATTTTTTGTCTGATTGTCAGCTGTTCAGACCAGAATGTTTTCTTCAAAGCACTAGAGGAAAACCATGTGTTGAGGATATTCTTTCCCTTAGTTTCACGCATTTTTCTACTCACTCCTCACTGCAGGAAAGAGACATCACCATAAAATACCATGGCATTCATAACTTCCATAATGTGAACTCACATCACCACAATTAGACAGGAGATCCACATATGATATAGCATCTTAATTCTGAGTGCTGGTTCTCTTCTAGTCATAAACTTAGATTTTCATTAAAAAAGGAACTTTCAGAAAAACTATTGTGAAAATTATTTTCAAATGTACCAATAAAATAAAGCTGGGACATTTCAAAGAAATTAGAAAAAAATGTTTTATGAGTAGAAAGGCAAAAAATAGACAATTTATTTTTCTAGCACTAGAAACACAAGAAACAGGCACTACTGGCACATATTCCATTGTCTGTGGAACTCTTAAAGGAACTACTATTCATACTTCCTGCTCACTTGTACATGAGGAACCAAAGTAACAACTTCTGTAATTTTGTTATTCCTTGGCAAACCGACTCAAGCAACCATATTCATATCTCCCTGGAGCAGTGGAAAAAACTGGTATAACAGTACAAAGAGTCATTTGGTCTTGTTCACTCTGCCAGTGAAGTGCTGCTGCTGAAGTGAACCATGGACATTTCCAAGATGGTTTGGCTCGTGGAATTTGTAATGTTGGATGGAACCATGCCTGCCTGGTTCAGAGTTGTGGTTGAGACCAAAGGGGTTACTGTACTGCTTTGTCATGTCAGAGTATCTGTGACAACTGAACGCTAGTGACATCTGTCTGAACTATTGTCTTTACCAATGCTACAGCTGATATTTCCCTGGTATACCACTGACTGAAAAAACAGATTGCATTATTTCAAGAGATTGTACCAAAAAAAAAAATTGCTGGAATGCTGAAATATGAGTTGCCACCCAGTATGTCTGTTGTGGGAGTTGAAAAATTCGCTTCAGCAAAAAGCCAGCTGTTACAAAAAACTCTTTTATAATATGTTTTCCTGATATTCTCTACTCATGTTGAAAGCTATGATTTTATGGCAGTTGTGTAGTTACTTTTTCCAGCTGGTATACTGAGATATACAGGAAAAGCCAGGATGTGCAGGTGCCAACATTTGTCCTTATCTTGTCAGATAGCCTTGATTCTCTTCTTACAGGAGTAGTGGTTCAGTCAACTGATTGTGAGTTACTGTCATTTCTGACACATTGAATTTCCAAATTTTTAAAGGGTTTTGATCTCATATATTAGTCTGTGTTTGGAACTTAAAATCTGATTTGCTGTCCCAGATCTTATGTGGTAGAAGAGAGGGAAAGGATTAGGAAAAATAGATAAGACATACCAAGGGAAAACTTCCTTCAGGAACACCTTCTTTTCAGCAGGACAGGAATTTCATAAGTGAGAGGCTGCATGGAGCCTAACATGCTTAATAACCTTTCATGATGCTTCAAGTTCTTGTTTGAACTCATTTCTTTTTCGATGTTGATAAGACTTTGTTCAAGATTCCCCACAACTTAACTGTGCACAGGTTCAAAGATACCATTCAGTTCTGTTAAATTGTCCTTCTATCTGGTGCTGTGATTGATGAATAATGGGGTCCTGCTCATGTTCCCAGCACCATTCATGATTTTGCTGACGTCTGCCAAACAATACTTTCTATGGAAGTAGTCATTTTCAATAATATATATTTAGTTTTTTATATGGATCCAAGCTTTGTGAGTAATAAATCATAGCAAGGGTTAAAACTAATGGATGTTGGCAGTTTTAGTATTTGTCTCTTGCAAATTTTGAAAAAGATGCAAGCCACTGAGCCCTGAGTTCCATTGCATTCAACACAAGATATAATCTGTGTTGTAAAATCCATTCCCGTCACACAGATCATGAGTCACTCCTGCAAATGACAGTGGTACTGGATAGATCCTCTGCTGAATCTTCCCCTTTGGTTAGTGTGAAGCAGGGCTCCTCGGGAGCAGTTGTGGTTCATTTACAATCTAGTTTTCTGAAGCCTGCCTTCCTTTCATACAGTCTGAGAGCTGCTGTAATGGCACTCTTGCTATAACAGGTGAGAAAATACTAAACCTAGAAATTCTCTAGACAACTCTCTGCTATTTCCTTTGGCAAGTGAAACAAGAGCTTATTAACACAGCTTTATTCCCTCCAGGGATATTCTGCTCTTCTTGTGGAAATGGTCCAGCCAGATCTCACTTCCTTTGAGCTAGCTGCACAGAACAGACAGATCAGAAGACACACAGTTTGGTTCACATTGTGTGAAAACAGTTTAAGAGAGTATGGAATCAGGGCTATGTTAAGAAAGCTGTTTTCAGTATCTCTGAACACTACCCACTTTCAGACCCTATTTATTTTCTTGCCTTTTACAATGTGGTAGGAAGTAAAAAAAGCGTAGCTGGGGAGGTAGTTTTGTAGAGCAACTTACATATATAAGCAGTTTTATTTTCAAAGTAAGGGTTACCTTTACATCCACCAACTGCATAGGAAAGCAAGTTGCTGATATTTTCTGCTGAAATTGTAATGGAGATGGGCTTTAATGTATAAAACTGGGTTCGGTAAACATATGTCTAATGCTAGGCTGGATGTTATTTTCACTTTTATTAGATTGGTGAAGGGGATTAATAAGAATTTTCAAATTTTAATTTTAGCTGCATTATGCCGAATCCCCAAAGTCCTCAGAGGTGAACAAAAGATATGCAATCATAACTGACTGTTGACCTACCCAATGCATTTTTTAGGAACTATTACTCTCCATCCTCCTATCACTGAACAGATACAAGCCAGCAATCCCGAGGAAGATTACATATAAATATCAAGAGGAAGAATACTTCTCTTTAAACAGGGCTATGCTTTTACTGTGAACGAAAGCTCTGATGACTTACTATGCAAAATCATGCCTTACCGTAAATTTTAGAATAGATCAAAGAGAGTGAAGTCCTTCAACATAGGA